TTGTTGCACGGATAAACATGGCAGGCTTCCCCTTGGCCATGTCCAGGGTTAGCAACAGTGTCATGTACTTCAATAAATCTATATTCAGGCTGTCACCTGCAGAGGGAAGTGAAGCTTATCTATGGCCTCTTGCTGTAACTTTGATACTGATCTTTATAGCTGGATTCCCAGTAAGCCCAGGGAGAACCTATTGTAAACTGCTTAATCTGAGCCATCTGAGCTGAAACTAAGAGACATGTTAGGAAAAATCACATCCAGTTTCTACTTGAGGTTTACATTTTTACCAGGTTTGAGATATACTTGCAGAACTATTCCTACACATTGACGTAATGGAAAATGTCCTCAGTTTTATACACAAATCTCCCTGAATTAGAAACGGTTTTCCATTTCAAGCATCCAGCATCAGGCAGCCTGTTCCTCCTCCTTCACTGAGCAGCTTTCTCAGGGTCTGCTGGGCAGAAAGAAAAGGCAGGGTGTAATCCAGGGTCAGACAAAACCATGTCCATGCCCACTGAGCAGGCGTTCAGCCCGTTATGAATGAGCACAGCCCAAGTGGTCAGATCACGCGAAACCCATCCTGCAGAGCAGGGAAGGGCAGGAATCCCAGCAATCCCTACAGCCCTCCCCCACAGGAAGCCCCCGGCATCTCCCTGCCGTCAGTCAGGAGCAAAAGTCCCCAGCAAACAGGTGCCAGGGCAGCTGTGCTTGGTGTCAAAGGGGAGCAGGGAGCAGCGTCACGGAGGCCCAGGGGCGTGGAGCACGTCCCATGGCAGCAGCAGAGGGAACGTGGCTTGGTGCCACTGCCTCAGCAGGTGCTCCTGTCCATGCCCTGCACAAGCAAGCAGCACAGTCACCACACACATGGTGAGAACAACCATCCTGTGCTGCCCAGGGGCTGCAAACCACCAGGAGGGACTGGTCCAGCCGTGGTGACAGATCACTCGCTCCAGGGCAGCTCCAGAACACCAGTCACCAGTTTACTGAGGTGTTTCTGGGGAAGGACTTTTTACAAGGGCGTGTGGTGATAGGAAAAGGGGTGATGGCTTTGAACTGGAAGAGGGGAGATTTAGGTTAGGCATTAGGAAGAAATTCTTCACTGTGAGGGTGGTGAGACACTGGAACAGTTTGCCCAGGTTGAATGGGGCTTTGAGCATCCTGATATAGTGGGAGGTGTCCCTGCCCATGCAGGGGGGGTGGAACTAGATGATCTTAAAAGCCCTTTCCAACTCAAACCTTTCCATGATTCTATGATTCTTCTACAGCTGCCTTGGCAATCCCAGGCCCCTGAAACACGTATGCCTTGCTCTGTGAGAACTATGAGTAACTGCACCCTCTTCCCATTCAATGTCCTTTCCAAACTGGAAAGTCTGTACTGATCCTCCCACAGACAGCTTCCTTCAGTTAGTCAAATCTGATCAAGACAGACATGTCAAGGGCTTTCCAAGGACCTTTCTGTCAATGTAGAAACACTGAGTGTACACAACAGCCACTTGCACACAATGGGCAGAGAAATGCAAGGATAGAAGATTCCTGTATCACAGATTACTTCTGCAATACTTCCAGGCACTTTGAATCACCACTGGAAAAATCACTTGCATCAAAGCAGGACGGGCCAGGAAGATGTGCAGCACAACAGTTTTGAGGAACTCCATGCTTATTTTGATGTAGAAAAAACATAGGATCAGCACAAGGAGCATAAAGACAAACATCATCAGCATCTTCTGTGGGATAGCAAGAGAGTCCTTAGTATACAAGAAACTGCACCTGCAGTAAAATTCCTCTTTCATTCTGAACCTGCACACACCAGGGGGCAAGGATTTGGCAAATTTTGTATGGCAAAATCTTGAGAGAATTGATAAATAGCTTTTAAAACATTTCCAGTGTGTCTGGGTTTCATTTTTTTAACAAGCAGCTGTGCCTGAGCAGCCTTCCCAAAGGTCCTCCCCTCCCACCACTGCTGTTGGGAGGAGACCTTTCATTCCTGATTGCCTCCTTCCATTTTTACTTACCTAAGAGCAGCAAATGCAACCAAGCATGTTAAACTGCAGGATTTTGTAATGCAAATACAAAGCTTTACAAAAACTTCAGACTGGGGGGAATGCAATTAGGATAACTGAAGCTGGAAAAAGGGTCTGAAATGCTTTTTAAAAACAAGTTAGAAAGGATAGTTTGCAGAAGGGAGGTAGTTTACAGTTACTAGCAACAACTGAAGTGTTGGAGAGCACGGAGGATCTCTCTGTCCTTCAGAGCAGATGCAGTGGGGGAGCACAGACAGGCCAGCTGGGGCTGGTGGCAGCACAGCCAAGGCAAGGGCTGGAGCAGCAAGCAGACCAGCACTCAGGCTGACAAAAAGCTCTGAGTCCTAACAGAAAAGCAGAGCTGTGCTCTTAACCCCAGCAGCTGAATCCAGGGTGTTACTAGTTCCCAATTCGTTTTCCAGGAATTAAATGTCTTTCACAGACTACAGCACCCCAGACTAAGAGGGCTGGGGTGGGAGGAAGCAGTAACTACAGAACACAGCTCACCACCAAGCCTGGAGGATCCTGGTCTTTCTCAGAAGGGCAGATGGCAAGAAGAGGCTCCTGACCTCCAGCTGCCTGGCTGTCCTGACAGAGACCTAAAACCTTCACAGCCGAGCTCGGAAAGCTGCAGCTGACCAGAGCCGCGGGGACCTGCCAGCAGCAGCTGTTGTGCTGCCTTCCTCGCCTCTGACTTTGCCTTCGGTCCTGCAGGTTTGTCCATCTTGCTGACAGCCCCAGACAGCCACCTGCTGGGCAACTGCATCACAAACCAACCTAGAACAGCACTTCCAACAGGGATGGTTGTGCCTCAGTTCTTCCTAGCTTCCTGTGAGATTAGGAGCTCAACGGGATGCATTTGACAGGGCAGCTGGAATAGGTGGCATTAAGCATCAGGGTCTGGAATTCTAAGACAGCAGGTGCAGAGTCTGTGCACGTCTGTCCCTCCCAAGAACTGTCAGTCTTTCTGGAATGTGTAAGGAAAAGGGAAGGGAAAAAAACAGCTTTATAAAACTTCTTAAACCTTAAAGCTGCTTCTAAGCAGCACAGCCCAAGCACAGAAGTCAGAAGGTGGCCAGAGCAGCTGGGGAACCAAAGTAGTAAAGGACAAATAGCATTTGGTGGCCAGGAAGCACAGAGCCATAAGGGCAGACCTGGCTCAGTAAACCTAGAGTTGTGTTTAAAACCATTTAAAACCACACCTCTGAGCCAGTATTAACTCAGTGTTCATGTTTAAGTATTTCCTTCATCCACAGCTGCAGTGACTTTGAGAAGCAGGAGCAGCAGCAGCAGGTTACCAAGCAGCAAGGAATGGGGAAGGTCCATGGTGGGTAAGGCAGCAGCTTCAAGCAACCGGGATTTTTCCACAGCAGAGGCTACCTCATTGGTTTCATACCCTCACCCTGGAGAACACAAGAGGTGGACTCTGGAGAAGGCTGATTCCCTTCTGGTCCTTCCAAAAGGAAAGTGGGATTTAAGGCTTCTGCAGCAGTTTTGGACAGGTGTTCAGGGCTGACCCTGCTTCTGGAAAGCCAGGGTGAAGACTCTGTCCTTATGGTACAGACCAACAGACCATGCCAGACTTAGGACAAGATCTCAGCCTCTTTTCCCATGGACCATTAGGACAGACACTTTCCCTAAGCTTCCCTCCATCTGTGTCCAGGCCTCTTCCTTGAAAACATAAAATACTTTCCACAAGCAAGATGTGTTATTTAGTGTCTGGCTTTCTAGTTTAAAAGTTGCACCCACAACACAGCACCCAACAGGACTTGCATGACAAACATGTAAAGTGCAGAACATTCCTTTCCACAGCTCATGTCAAAAATCCAAAAGCTAAAAGGCAAGGGGGGTTCATTATTAAAGAAAGCACAGCACAACTTATTTCCCAATCAGTTTTTTTCAAAACTAACCAGCATGACCATGCAGAAAGTAAATGAACCCAAGCACACATTCTGGCAAAGCAGCAGCTTGTTTTATTGAGTTCAAATAGCTCTGCATCAAACAAAAAAATAATTACAGTTGCGTTTTGCTTTTTAATGTTAGTCATTTCTCAAATGAAAAAGTGATTATGTTTAATAATGCTAAGAGAAAACAAGGAACAGGAGGAAAAATGAAGTCAGACAAGACTGGAGAGCCTGTGTCCCCTTCATGTATCACCCTCATGTGAGAGAAATGGAATTCTTAAAAGTGCTGTTAAATTTTCTCAAGTCAAGGTCAGGGATTGAATCCCAGGACACAGCACCTGGCAAATCAAATCTGTCCTGGGTTGCCCTGAACCATGCTGCACTTCTGAAATCACACTGGGGCATTTTCTGTGGGACAGAAAGGGATTTCAGAGAAGAGCTCAGGCTAATAAAACACATTTCCCCACTGGCTGCCTCAACAAAGCTTAGTACAAATGTCCAACACAATTCATTTTTCCTCCCTAGTTTCACAGAAAAGATCAGTGTGCAAGGTCCCCTATGGTGTCTGTAAGAGCCCCCCAAGGGGCAGCTCTGGCCTCCCCTGCTGGGTTTGGTGTTTGCTGCACTACATGCATACGAGATCAAGACCCCTGTCAACACAGAAACTGCCACAACTGAAAAACTTGAGATGAGAATACTGCCTGACACTGCTTGCAGACACTAGTGTGTGCAGCTGCTAACTCATGCCCTGAGAGGTAAGTACATGCTGCCAAACAATTATTTTAAGGAAGCTTTTCAGCATTAAGAGCTACATGTTTCCTCAGTAAATAAAGAATTACATTTTAAGAAGTGTCCCTTTCTTCCATGGGGAAGTACTTAAGGTAATGTGTGAAACAGTGTCAGCATTCCT